CCAGCCAACGGCCCGCGTGCGCGTCTTATCGGCTGGCGAGGACACGTTTTTGTCCTAGTCCTCGCACAGTGGCTATCCGTCTCCCACATTATTGTATTTGAATGTTTTTTGGTACTTCTGGTTGGTAATTTAATTCAGTGAGTGGATGAATATGTATGAATGGTTTTATGTACTAAACCAGGAATTGTTAGAATATAATTTCTGAAACCAACAATTATTAATAAAGTGAACTTTTTCTAATATTAGTTTCTTTATATTTTTTTGTAAATATAGCATTGTAGTACTGTGATAAGAAATAAAATATATAAATATATATACACGGTGTTTCATTTAACTCGAAACGGTTATCGGAATATCTCACGAAGGATTAAAGTTATCAAAAAAATGTTCGTACAAAAGTTATTTGGTACAAAGGGGGGCATTACGTGGTATAAAGAATTTTTCTATAAGTATAGTAGTGGGGGAGATATCATAGTCAAGTTAATTTTTTTAAATGGAACCCTGTAGTTTTTTATTTATATTATGACAGGGTTTGTTGAGACGAGTACAATGAACTGCCACATGATATCATTCCCTGTAGTACTAAATGATAAATTAGTAAGATTTTAAGATGATTTACGAAACAGGATTATAGTCGCATGCGAAAGAATAAAGGACAAGATGTTGAAAAGTGTCGAAAGAGAATTTTTAAACAGAATAGAAATGTGTATTTGTAACGATGGTGGGCATGTTGAAGGATAAATGACGTAAAAAATTATTAATTAATTCTTGATACTACAAGTTAGTATCTTACTATCTACTACAAGTTAGTGGTAAATGAAATTTAAAATCCATTATTTATGCTTAACTCCTCATATTTGCTACAGTATTGGTGTTGTTTCCATACCAGGAATATTTTAGGTAAGAGAAGATGGCACAGTCACGTAGAGTTCAGCTGACCTACGACACACGATCCGTGTTGATCTGACTACTTTGTATTTAATTTATATTTTACAACTCGGAATGATATCATGTGGCAGTTCGTTTTATCCGTCTCAACAAACACTATCATAATATGAATAAAAACATAGGGTTCCATTTAAAAAAATTAACTTGACTTTGATGTCTCCCCCACTACTATACTTATAGAAAAATTATTTATACCACGTAATGTCCCCCTTTGTACCAAACAACTTTTGTACGAACATTTTTTTGATAACTTTAATCCTTCGTGAGATATTCCGATAACCGTTTCCAGTTAAACGAAACACCCTGTACATATGCAAACCTAATTTTCAAACTGAAATAAGTATTGACCCTTGTTACGCGGAAATTTAGCTTTTGGGCCCCGGACAACCGTGTGGCCGTGGTTCGCTGCGAACAAAGCCCCTCTCTCGCTCTCCGCGACTATCCGCGCCTCCACTAGTTGAACGCCAGGCATTCCCCGAGTGCCGGTATCGGGCAGGACTTCCGATACCTCCGAACTTTACTCAGAGTGGAAACTACGAGAGAGTGGCGGTTGCCGGCTAGCATGCACAAGGGCCGAGTTTCGCAAGTAGAATGCAGAGTCTCCTCACAGCAGGAGGCGGTTCGCGAATGAATTGAGATCGATTTGCGTCAATTAAGACGTTTATTAACGCCACACGTGTACCCTTGAGGGCAACGCTTACAATCGGTGGCCTACGATAACAAATTCTATAACAGTTTTGTCCGGAAATTCGGTACACGTCTTAATACAAACTATTTAACAACTAATTCGGCTACGGCGCCTCCGCCAGATGGTATGCGCGGTACGCTACTACTCGCGGTCACACCCGCGAACCCGCAACTTCTAACAGAAGATGAGAAGTTGACCGATGTTAATTCGTTTCGACTTTACCGCAATTAATTACAGAATCACCCTAGGTAAAAGAGATGAGTTACCGCTCACAGAGGTTCGGCTCAGTGTCGCCTGGTACTCGCTCGCTCACACTCGCACAAAAGGGCCGACGAAAGTTACTCTAGACACGGATTCAAAGCCAAGTATATTTGCTACTCGCTCGCAACCGAATGATGAGCCGCGGATTTCGGCAATCAGCCGTAACGTTCGGCGGTACCCCCCTTTCCCCGTTACTCCACCGTTCCGTTCCCCGTAGCCCCGCCGCGAATCTCCCCTGGAGTATTCGCCGGACTTCCGGTGCACCGCGTTTCCAGGGACTCATCAGGCCTTGAGAGTTTCTCCGCCAATAATCCTGACTCCCCTGGAGTCTGGTTGGAGTACGACGCTCAGTCCCGTGGACGCGCCTGTACTCCCAAATGATGGGTTTCTCCCGCAGTCACCTCCGTTGGGAGTCCTGTGCAGAGAGAGGCGCCGGTCACTGCCAATATTATCCGACTCCGTTGGTGCAGCTGTTCGGCGACTCCGCAGTCGACCGGCCGCCTCACGAGGTCGGTTCCTCCACCGTTGGTTGGCGGTGTGGTCCTCTCGTAGGACGGGAGACCCTTATCCCAAATATCCAAATAATCGGCCGATGTCCAATAACCCAATGGTGGCTCCTGGTCAGGGGGGGGGGAGGGTTCCGAAGTCGGGTGTCGCCACACTCTCGTCACGGCCCTGTAATTTTGCGCAGTTGCTCGGCGGGGTAAAAGACGCGGTTAGTTGCTATTCAAATGTTCGCAAGTTCTTGGGATTCCTCTAGGAGCACTTGTGTGCCTGCGTAACAATGAATGAAAATAACTCCCCTATGTATAACGCAGTCGCCCAGTCACCCGCACCGGCGAACTGCATACTATTTATATTTATATAACCCATAACAAGCGTTTCCTAACCTAAAACATTAGGTGTCACCTATCACCTGTAACCATACCTCGTAGAAATCACGTGATCACTGTATTTGTCTGTGAATCGACTAAATTTTTCTTCGAATAAGAAGTTACTCGAATGAAAATTTATTCGAATAAAAAATTATTCGTTATTGTCGTGTAACGTCAAGTCCGCGTTGCGGTCGTTACTTTATTTATAATTTTGGGTCCTGGCTCTCTTAAGGTACTAAAGCACGCCCTGTCTAAACTTACCGGTAAAGTACGCAATGAGGATTAGGGAACGGGAGGGATAGGAAATCACTCTCGTTTATGATAACAACAAAGATATATTCTAACAGTCGAATAAATAAAGGATACAAATAATTCTTAACATACCAATGATGATGAAGATAAGTGATAGTTACGTGTCGCTTTCAGTCGATTCGGTTGGGATTTCGGGTCCTTGAAAGGACGGAAGACTTGCTGGCGCTCGGAGCCGTGATACAGGGTTTGGGCACTGCGGGATACGTTGTCACCGTCTCGGACGTTGCACTTCGCGGTCCGGTGTCTTATAAAACTCGCCTGTTAGGCCGCGCGTAATCGCGAAGTCGCGTCGCACGAGGAAGAGATATCCTCGCGGAAACCCGAAACTGAACAACTGAGTGACCGTTATCACTCATCTCGCTATCGCATGTAAAGATTGAAGCGAAGCGCGACTGTCGAAAAGCGAACGAACTTGCCGTGGCAGAAGCGACACACGAGCCGAAAGTTAAAAGAGTCGAAAAACTAAGAGAGCTTCCCCGGTTTGGACAATCGTTTTATAAGTTCTTCCCCCCTTCCTTTATTGCAGAACGTGGAAGATACGGGGTAGCAACAAGCCATTGTTCGTAAGAGAATTCTCGAGTCGTCGTGGCGGTCTTTGAAAATTGCTGATGTTTCCATTCCGTCGGTCAACGTCTCGAGGAAGGTCGACTACGCGCGTAGCTTTCACTTGTCACTGAATTGACGGTTCTCGTTCGCTCGTACGCACGGGGTTACTGTATAGCTCAATGAGCAGCATTAGCACCGCCATTTTGTATAAAAAAATATTTTTGTATATTTGAATTACAATATTACAGGTTTTACAACTGATTTCCAATTTACTTTATTCTATTCCCACATAAAAATTCACAAGGATACCTATGAGTTTCAGGTGGCAAGGTGAGCTAACCTCTCTTAATCAGCTGATCAGACAACCCGCTGCTGAAAAGATTTGTTGTTACTGTATAACTGTACACTGTTATCGCTTTAATTACGTACAGACCATAGTGAATATTTTGTTTTATTCTATCATTGCATTGATTGTACGATGTGTTACGTAGCTGGGTATCACGTATGATTTAGCATAGTTGCATTGCACACACATACGATTACGTATTTGACATCTGCCTTCTGCTTGGTGGCAGCAGCTTCGAGTCAGTGCACTTTTCGTTCATAGAGACTGATATGTATATGTAGTGGTGTAGGTAATGTAGGTATATATCTACTACGCATGACTACGCACCACGGTGGCTCGTTTATACTTTACACACGATGATACACAACGCCGAATACATAAGATTGAAAATGTCATTTCCGTAATTAGATGACAGTGTTTTTTTGCAAACTATATTGTCCTTCTGCTGGGCGATTTTCTGCAATACCTAACAGTGAGACATTCCTAAAAAATGAGCTGCAAATCTGTTTATGTAGACGCGTAACACTTCCGTCTCCTTAAATTAATAACGCGACTCTTCATAATAACAAGTCCTATACCGATCGTGTATTTCATTCACGTTATAATCAGTTATAACCATTAATTTGTAAACAGTGGAAATTTAATTACTTTCAATCAGTATCTTTAAATTCATTTATTATTTTTATTTGTGTTAATTGTCAAGTGTGCATTACTTATCAGTTTATTTGCAGGAATGTTAAATACAAAGTTGTTACCTTTATTACTTCTTTACCTCTAATAGCCAACAAATCAAAGTATTTTCATGTGTATGAATTATGTGTAGGTTAGAATAAGAATGTGTGGAGGAAGTCTTTCTGTTCATTTCCTGTTACCAACTCTTAGATACATATCTATTGTTATATAGTACCATACCAATACATTGAAACAATTAAATCATATCTAAAACTCCAATATATATTTATACTTATATCCAATTGCTTCTGTCACTCTTCAATATACTAACCAGTTTCTAATTTAATTATAGATGTCACACTATAATAGTAATACAAGTAGTCAAAGATCTGCAGTAATTGATTACGAACGTCAATTCCAAGAAGATTTAGAACGTGCACAGGCATTGAGTTTAGAGAGTCTTGCCTTAGAAAAATTTAAACTACAGAAACAACGTTCTGAATTTAATAATATACAACAACCATGTGTTCCACATAATGATATACATGGAGAAAATAGTATTGTACATAGTAGTATGCCAGAAACAGATGGTGTACATCAAGTTGAAAAGTAAATTAAGATTGTTTAAAAATTTAGATTATTTAAATGTTGATATTGAATTTACTATATACAATGTTAGTAATTAGGAAAAATTGTAAGAGGAGGTATTATAGATTTCAGAGCAGAAGTCGGCCAAGGCCTGGAGCTTTTAATACCAATCAGTCAAAAAATGTTATGATAATAGCACCACCACCAATTCCATCTAGACGAAATTCAACATCAACTACAGCAAGCCACGAAGAGTCTGTGGACTTGATAAATTTTACAAGTCCTGTAAAGCAGAATGATCTAACTGATTATTGTTCACCTCCACCTCCTCCACCGTAAGATTTTGATTTAGATATACTTATAGAAATAATGTTTTACAGATTTATGATTTGAATTAATCTTATGTAAACAGAAAATCATCAATAGAACTAAACTGGGACACTCATCCATCATTACTAAAAAAACAGACAAGAGTATCGCGAAGTAGTAGTTCTGCTGCTTATCACTCTAGAGATTTTCATTATCAGTCACTTTCTCCAGGTCTTGGATCTTCCACTGCACCTTGTACACCTGGTACTCCAAAAATTAGTCCCGTCATGTCAAGATCTAGTAGTATTAGCAGAAATGTACCTGATATGACACCACAAGTAAGCAGTTCATATCATTGTCTTTTAATATCAATCTATATCATCTAACACTCTAGATATTTCTTTTATGACCATAATAATTTTATTACTAATTCTAATTCCAGCCTGCATGGAATTTTTGTAATTTAAACAATTATTTTCTAATGAAGGTATATTGTGTACACATGTTTTATATTAAATATTAGTTCAGTAGTTACATTTGAATCCAGTAACTTTAAGTTTATTAACAGCATTCGTTTGTTATCAGAATTCCCTGTCTAATATGAGATTTATATTATATTTAAAACAATAATTCGTTTGCAGATACCTCCATTACCTATAAATTACAGACCAAGTATTACTCCTGCTGTGTGTTGTGGTGTTCAGAAGCCTACATTCTCTATGGACGATGAGCAGCTAAATGTGTTAAAAGTGATAGAGAAAAAGCCAAATAATAATCTTATAGATTTGAGTTCTTTTGATCATGCAGAAGATAAATCAAATGTTCGAGTTAGTGTACTGGAAGCATTCGATCCATTACTTGTTAAGACTGAATATCAAACTGATATCTCACAAGGACAGAAAGATGGTACTATGTCTTCAGTGATAAAAAAGTAGAAGAGAATTATTGTATTAATAGATAGTAATACCAATATCTAACAGTATCCTTTGTTTAAACAGACGCACAATCACAAATTAGTGGATCAGTGTATGATCCATTTGATCCATTCGATTATATGTACAGCACAAATGAAAGTGTTAATTCGGATCCAGTATATGTTGCTGTGGAAAAATCTGCTAAATCTCCAGCTGTATCCCCAGCAGCACCACCACCACTGCCTCCTAGGAATTCATCTGCTTGGAACACTATTGAAAGAAGGAGAACTTCTTTAGATAGAAGAGTAAGTTCTCCACAAAGTTTTGTTTTAAATTCAATCAGCAATAATTTATATGCTGAAAGTTTTAATTTTCATAGCAAAAACGACAAACACGTTTATACGAAAATGTAACAGTGAAAAAAACCAGACCATCGCTCCATGATTGTGACCTAAAAGCTTTTCACGAGATGATGAAGTCTGTGCGAAGTTCGTAAAAAATAAAGAATAATTTTCTCTATTTTTATAATGATTGAACTTTATATTCATATGCGGAATTTATCTAGGTGATTTTCCATTCAATGATCCCAGTACAAACATTGGACATGTAATCAGTCCAATGATGGAAAGTTTATATCCTGAAGGCACAAGTATAAAATTGGTTGTACATCCTCAGTTAATGGATTCTGACGAAAATACTCCGTCCATTTCATTTACTTGTGATGGTAAGCTTTTATAAATGTGTTAAATAAGTACAGTAGTCCAATTGTCCATAAATACATATATGTTTTCAGTAAATTGCAGTGTGGAACATGTTATTCTTAATGTTGCTTGTTCCTTAGAAGATGAAGATACAGTAAACATAGAAAAATATTGTTTAAGAGTGTGGGGATTAGCAGAGTATTTTGCACCTAATACTACATTAGCACAATATGAATATATACATCAATGCATTAAGTTAGAAAAGGACATTGAATTAGCTATTCAAACTAAGGCACAAATAAAAAGATGTATAGCACGTACAGTAAGTATTTATCTACATTTAAAAATATGAATAATTTTTTTTATAATATTAACCATTTCCATAGCTCCAAGATGATAATCGTGACCAATGTCTCAAATTAGAAGATATTCTTCCAAATGAACCTGTTCAACCTATTTCTTACGAAACACTGCTTATTCTATTGGGTATGAAATTTAAAACATAAAAATCTTATTTTGTAATACAGAAATGCATAAAGTGTCAATGGAGTTGGAAGAATTCTTATAAAAATTACAGAAACCGTAGAGAAAGAAATGGAACGCGTGGAGACTGCAGCAATACAATTAGTAACTACAAATCATAGTTCCAGTCTTTTACCGCAATTACAACCCCGTGGTGTTGTGCAAGCAGTAAAAGCAGTGTGCGCTCTAATGGGAAATATAGAAACATTTGAGATCACGGAAGCTGTCGATAATTTCGTTAATGCGTGTTGTCAATTTTTACCTCAAGTTCACACAACAAATATTGAGTGCAAGAAACCTGAAATACTACATGAAGATGGCGACTACTCTGTCGTCACTTTGAGAACTAAGTTTCCGGATGTAATTGGTTCTCACTGTCGGAAAATACGCGATGCTATTCAAGATCTTGTAGAAACTTATTGCCACGCATTTAGAGTCGATTTCGAATTAAATAGTAAAGGAGAATTCCCTACAAGTAATATCATTAAATACAATATATATTTTGTTTAATGATGATTTTTAATAGAATATAATGTATGTATTTTTGTGATAGATACATTAATATCATCCGAGGTATTGGATACTGTATTAGTTCACGTTGGAGCATTGCATAGATTACCAGGATCATGGAAACATGATGATTATATTATTGCAGCCCAAATCTTTCATGGAACTAGACCTGTTGGGAATCCAGTTTTATCCGAACCTATGGCAGTCAGTTCTAATTTTTATCCTAGAATTTTATTTAATTCATGGTAATGTTTTTTAAGTTTATCGATTAAGAATTAAATATTGCTTATCTCTCAAATCTAAATTATAATTTTAATGCAAAAGGTTGGAGTTTCACGGAATAAGCGTATGTCAAGTACCCAGAGAGGCGAGATTGGTGTTAGTTTTATATGGTCGTACATTACAACCTGCTGATCATGAATCTAATTCGTCTGCAGAAAATACTATGCAGAAGGAAGAACTGGGTTGGGGCGCTATACAATTTTTTGATTACGATGGGTAATGAATTATGTAAAAATGATAGGGAATATTGGTATCTTTTTCAACGTCTTTTTTTTTCCTGTATTACAGAGTTATGAGTCAAGGAAGTTTCTTCCTGTCTCTTTGGCCAGCGATTGCTGACAAGAGATTAGGTTCTGCCCCAGCACCTGGAATCCATCCCCACGGGGATACACATCCCATTATTGGTTTAGAATTACCTGATTATGGAGGAAAGGTGTTATTCCCGACGGAGCTGAGAGATTATGATGTAGAGTCTCTCGACTTCAATTCATTGGATCAGAATACACAAGAGATATTGATAGACATTACTCAACAGAACACATTTTCAAGGTACACATATGTTTTTAATGTACATATAAGTCTTTACCATTTAATTTTGTTGTTTGTAGACCACTTATTGAAGAAAGAGAAATTTTATGGGAAAAACGTCATTACCTACATGACAGACCAGAAGCTTTGCCTAAGGTGCTTCTAGCTGCACACAGTTGGGACTGGGCATGCTTACCTGATCTTCATGCATCCCTTAGAGTTTGGTGTCCTCTACCTCCGGTTCAAGCTTTACAATTATTATTGCCTTGGTAACTTCATATTTCAAATGAATAACTTAACTAAACATTGTAGTAACTAAAATAATCATAAACATTTTGTAGTTTTCCAGATATGAAAGTAAGAGAAATGGCTGTTGTTTGGATTCGAGAACTGAGCAACGATGAACTTGTGGATTATTTACCGCAGTTATTGCAAGCATTAAAACACGAAACATACGAGACTTCACCGCTTACGAAATTTTTATTAGAACGAGCATTACTTTCGCCACGAGTAGCTCATCATATTTATTGGTTGTTAACACAAGCGTTACCAGGACAAAGTCCGCAGGTACAGGTTGAATAATAGCAAACAATTTTGATAAATCTGTGTTTTCTTTAACTTCTACCACATGAATGAATAGAAAATTTATTTTCTTATGTTATTTAGTTATTAATTTAGTTATTTTATGTTAATCATTCATATATAGACTTCAAGTTTGTAATCAATCATAAGTTTCTATATATTTCCCAACTTATTTTGATATACTAAGGAATTAATTTGTACTTTTTTACTGTTATTCAAATTATTATGTTTTGTAGTTAAAACTATTAATTTATTTATTTTTCAGAATTCTGCTGAAGCTACGCCAGAAGATGACAAAAATATCAGTTATGCACGTTACCACAGAAGGTTACAATTCATGCTACGTGCATTGCTGGCTGTGATTGGCGAAGCACTGAGGAACAGCTTCCTCACACAACAATTACTAGTTAAAGTATGCATTTTAAAGCTTATCATATCTTATGAGTGTAATATGAGTAACAATTTTAATTCATACTTTTTCAGAATTTACACGAAGTAGCAGAAAATATAAAATTGACAAAAGAATCACTGCGGATGGATACACTTAAAGTTGGTTTACAAAATATACATTGTCAGTTAATGGAAGATGATGGTACAAGCTTACCTCTGTCCCCTAGTAAACAAGTATTTGGAATAAACGTGCAAACCTGTTCATATTTTCCATCATTTACTCTTCCATTGAAAATCAATTTTATCAGTAGCGATGATGTTATTTGTCCAGCAATTTTTAAGGTGTGTTTACTACACAATTGTTCACGACATAATTAATTTTTTATATGTCAAAATGATTTTCAAGGTCGGTGATGATTTACAACAAGACATGTTAACTCTTCAAATGGTTCGTATTATGGATAAACTTTGGTTAAAAGAAGGCCTTGATCTGAAAATGGTTACATTCGCTTGTGTGCCTACTGGTCATAAGCGTGGAATGATAGAGATGGTTACCGATGCGGAAACACTAAGAAAAATACAGGTAGAATTCGGACTAACTGGCTCCTTTAAAGATCGGCCAATTGCTGAATGGTTGGCAAAACACAATCCTTCAGAACTAGAGTATGAAAGAGCTGTAGAAAACTTCACTGCATCTTGCGCGGGTTATAGCGTCGCCACTTATATTTTAGGAATTTGCGACAGGCATAATGACAATATTATGTTAAAAACATCAGGTCATTTATTTCATATTGATTTTGGAAAATTCTTAGGCGATGCACAAATGTTTGGTAACTTCAAAAGGTAAGAGTATTTCAATTTGCACATTCTAAATTTCTTATTAAAAATGATTGCACGTATTATATTCTCATCAGGGATAGGACACCATTTGTATTAACTTCTGATATGGCTTATGTTATAAATGGTGGTGATAAACCTTCGGCCAAATTCCATCACTTTGTAGATCTGTGTTGTCAAGCATTTAATGTTGTGCGAAAACATGGAAATCTTATTCTTCATCTTTTTGGATTGGTATGTTTTTTAATATACAATGTATCATATACTTTAAACATAATACATTATCAGAAAATATTTAGACTAAGTTTTAATATTACTATAAAACTGGTTATTTAATGCAAAGAAATGCTTTTGCTGTAGCTCAATTATTTGATTAGTAAAGAAGGAGTTTATTTTTAACTTGATAGTATGATAATTTAAATCGTTATTCTGTTATAAAAACAACGAGACCGCAACGGAAAGACTTATCCACAGACTTTATCAGTAAGCGGTCTGCTATCACACTAAACTGTATGCGATGTGTCGTTAATTAGTGTTTATCGTCCGAGGTCCTATAATATCATAAACTGCAACAGTCCGAATCAATTAAGAGAAGCGTTAAACACGTGAAGATTCAATAATTTAATAAGTATAGTTATTAGTTTAATCGCTCGTGTGTGTATGTGTGTGTGTGTAACAAAACTATACTAATATAAACTGTCTTTACTGAAAGTGTCAAACAGTCTTCAGAAATGGACAGTTTATTATCGCAAAAAGATGAGATGTCTAATTTGCATAAACTGCAGATTATAGAACAAAAGCTTAATGACTTGGAGATTAAAGAAGTAGTGAACAAGCTTAACTTGAATAATTACACAAATTCACAGATGACTTCATCTGGTATTCCTGGTGTGACTGTTGATGCAGTTAGTTATGTGCAAAAGGCTCTTCTTCCCGAACAAACGAATCCTGAGGCAGCAGCAACCTTTGCTCGAATGATTGAAAGTTCACTTAAAAGTTGGTTTACACAATTCAATTTCTTCTTGCATAATTTAGCACAATTGAGATTCTCAGGCGACCACAATGACGGAGCACTATTGTCTTTCATTCCACGTACATACACGTAAGACTGGCAATATTTGATAAAGTTGTATATAAGTATGATATGAAGTGTATTTATAATTATACTTATATTATGTATGATTGTCGCAGAATGCAACAAGAAGGTCAACTAACAAGTGTTCAAGTACATGGGTATCAAAAACGCTATGACCCTGAAAAATATTATATGTATATTTTGCGCATACAGCGGAAGGGTCATGCCGACCCCACTTATTTATTCCGATCATACAAAGAATTTTGTGAATTTTATCAGAAACTGTGCATTCATTTTCCACTTGCTAAAGTTGCTAGGTAAGTAGTGTACACCTCTACACTAATTTATATAGTAATATCAGTTATCATGACATTCATGCCTTTCATTAAAGGAGATAAAATTGTTCATTTCCTGTCTGCTTGCAAAACTTGACACTTACATATGTGCAGTATATTTTTATTTCGGTTTCATGTGTACTAATGACGCAAAGCTAGTAATGATTGTTTTATATTTCATTTTTTTATTTATACGTCCTTACCGTTGGTATTTTTCAATTTCATATAAATTAAATGTCAAGTCCTCCTTTGTGTAATAATTTCAATTAAATATTTCTTATTTCTAATATTTTCAAAGTTTCTTTTTATCATGATTTTGCCATTCAATCATATCGTATCAGTGTTAATTTTTTAAATTATCATTCGTATTTTTTTGTGACTTGGACACACTGGAATCAGTTTGTGAAATTTTTCTGTAAAATTCGGGAGTTGGTGACTTTAATGAAGTTTTTTGTACTGATATTTGAGCACGGAATCGTGTGATCCCCATTTCTAGTTAATTTAGATTTTCCTTGAAAAGAAAGAAGTATTTAATGTTAGATAATAGAAAGTCTAGTATGCTACAAAATATTGTTGCAGTACATACCTGTAAAACAATTTCTTTTTTCCAAATGTAATACACTTTTTATGTACAGTACTCTAAAAAGGTGCAAAAAGTGTAAATATAAAGCAAACGTATGTTGTCTTGTTACTTGTATCTAAAAAGTATTTTATACCTTCATTATCAGATTTGAACTGTATTATCTTTTTACATGTTCTATCTAATCTGATCAAAATTGTTGATACATACAAAATTTCTTCCAAAACATGATCTCAAAATATAAATTATGTGTTCGTACATTTACTGAGCCTGTAATATAATTTACATAATTACAACTGTAATTAAGCAATATAATACTTGTTGGTTGTACTATACAGTTTACCAAGCGGCATGAGCGTCGGCAGATCTAATATCAAACAAGTTGCTGATAAACGTCGAGCAGACATTGAAAAATTCCTTGTAAGCCTATTCAAAATGGCACCTGAAATTTCACAGAGCGATTTAGTATACACATTCTTCCACCCTTTACTGCGAGATCAGCAGAATGCTGATATCCATTTACGTAAAGTAAAAGGTATGATAAAACTTATAAGATTAATTGTACAAGAATTATAAGTAATTTTTTTAATTAGTTGGCAATTGGTGGGCTGAAAAAAGAGTCAGAGATAACGTACAAAGCGGACAAATTAAAATGTCCCTTCACTACACTCGTGGAGCATTCTATGTAATGGTTCATCACGCAAGGGGCTTGCCTAAGGTAGCTAACGGTCAAGAACCAAATACATATGTCAAGGTGTATCTTAAACCTGATCCTACAAAAAAGACAAAACGGAAGACAAAAGTTGTGAAAAAGAATTGTCATCCTTCGTTTATGGAAATGGTACTGAATTACTTTTTTAGCTTTTATTCCTATCTGTATAAAACATTGGATCTAAAACATATATTTCTTCGTTATAGTTGGAATATAGAATGTCTTTAGATGTTATTAAGGAAAGAACTCTAGAAGCTACAATATGGAACCATGACACTCTCCAAGAAAATGAATTTCTTGGTGGAATACGCTTACCACTTGAATGTTTGGATTTAACAACTGAAACTATTGAATGGTTTTCCCTAGGAAGTATTCGATGAAGGAACATAAAAATTTGAGGAACATACAAATGCTCATAAATGTTAGATCTATAAAGAGAGAAAACTTCAATCGCACAATACTAACAATAGCATTTATACACCGTGCACATTAATAGTGTCATAAAAAAAAGTAGTGTTTACAAAGCCATTATAAATAACAGTGATACATGTTTTCATATTTGGTGACAAAACTTTTTAAGACAAGTCAGTAAATATCGCAAAGTATAAAGCTATATTTAAGTAATATAAGGGTAGAAGAATAGGCATATTTCATAAAATTATTTTGCCTTTTCAAGAAAGGTCGTAATATTAAAACACTTTTCTTATTTAACCAGAGACCCAATTACACAAGTGGTTATAAAATTTGTCTGGATCATTTACTTTAAAAACATACCCAAACAGCACATAACGCCTTGAAAACGCCCGTTTTACGACTATTTTATGTCTGAAGCGTCTTTACGCAGTCATTAAGCCGTCTTAAGCTGTCTATGTGCTATCTGGGTACTTGGCACTGAATGCCAGTAAATTATAAAATTAATTGAATTAATAAGGATAACTTTGTTAAATAGTAGAATTTTATAAAAATGTTTATTTATATTAAAAAGTAGAATTGTATACATATATATTATAAGTTTTTCTCGAATATAAGTTAGTTGCTTACAATAATAAATATATGAGAAAGTGAGGAGACATTTTTTACTTTCATACGAAAAATTGAAATTAAATATAAAAATGATCAAATAGCTTTTGATTACAGTAATAAGATCAATAAGAAGAAAAATTATATATGTCAATGTGTATTATGAAATTGTTATTTTTATGCAAGATAGGAGAATGAAGTTATGTAAATACGTTTTTACACAAACCGATAATTTCATAATTATTTTATATATGTACTGTGCATATTTTAATATTATTTCATTCGTATAACGCTACTATAACGAAAATGAAAGTTCATATTAATACATTACTGATGGGAGATTTTTAGAAACGTACTTCATTTTAGAAGAGCCTTAACCATATTTTTATAGCATTTGTCCTAAACAAAGTTTTTAGTTTCCTAATTTATCTCCGTTGTGAGATAAATAATTCTATTCTAACAGTTGCGTTATAAAATTAATTATATTCTGAAGTATAATGATATGCCTAATGTAAGTCCCTGTTAGTGTATTAATATGTATAATTAATTATAACCTTAATTTTTGTTATAAATATTTGTTACCTGCAAGGAACTAATTTAATTGTACAAGATGGTGTTCTATCCAATTGTACGGACCTTGATATTACACTTCTAAAAAAACATTGTAAATGCTCGAGCATTCTGCTTTTGCATTAATTTTTTTAGAATAATCGTCTCACAAAGCTTTTGCTTGTGCTTATTTTTTATAAACATAAGATCACATGAATATTAATAATTTATTTGTAAATCATTTTGAAATGTACATACGACCGATTCTATCAAGTATAAAAATTCAAGAAATAAGTGGTCGTGATAATTTTATTGCATTTCTACTGCATGATTTTAACGATATATTTACTTCTTAATTTGTACTGTAACATTATAAAGCTACATAACAAATTGTATGTCATCTTTAATATACCTTCCTTGAATCTGTAAGTCTACAAGTATATAAGGAAAGTAACCACTTTTAAATTCTGGGATTTTTAATGTTTCAAACATAATGAAAGTATTTATATTCTTTATATTTCAAAGAATCTTCCTGTAGGAGCTGCATGAAAATAATTTTATTACTGGTTGTTTTTGTAAAATGTTACTGCTAATATGTACAAGACCTTGCGATTATTGACTGATTGTTTATCTACGATTATTGTCCAGGCATCATCCCCACCAGTGGGGGGGGGGAACCCGGCAAGCGCATACTTTGTTGCCCCGGCGTGCCGTGCCCCGAGCAGTGATGCCAGAATCGTGGAACTTGGTTCCACCACCATAACGTCCCCCGGCATCCCCCACTTGAGTCCACAGTTTCTGCCATGCAAGCATACTTCGCTTCTATCCGTGTGAGCTGACTGTCGGGTGTTCCGTAAGAATCTACGTTATCGACGCGACTCCCAGCAACCTGAGCGCGTGCGCAGAAATCATGAGACCCTGTTCGAATTTCGCTACGACAGTTTTACTTTATATTTTTAATTATTCTGTAACTTCGCTTTGCAACCCCTTTGTAAAATAAAAGATTGAAAAATATCGATTTGCGAAACATTTCAAAAAAAGGGGTTGCATTTTTCCCTCTTCCATAGTTAAATTTTATATTATGTATGTATTATGTTATATGTACACAAATTATTCTTACAATTAGATGTTACCGTTATTGTAAGTATTGCAGTACATAAATATAAAAATATTAGTAGAAGATTCCATCAGATCAAAATATTGCTTTTTAAATATACATAGCTATAGACATATATATGTATAATGCTGAAAATAGTAGAAATTATGTCGTGTTTGGAGTTATTTTCATCAGGACAATGTTCTCAATTGATTTGTAACGACACTCGCATAACAATGCATTGAACTGAGTAAAAATTTGAATTTTTATTCATGCATGATTCATTCTGTGTGCTGTTTACTTTATAGCCCTAGGGTCGGGCTGTCGCCGATGGCACAGGGGTTACGGGGAGAGGCGGGTGCGGTGGAAAGCGCTACGATACCCGTACAGGCTTCGGTAACCGAGACTTGATTTCAGCTGTGACATTTTTCCCTGTGGTCTTGTGGAAGGAACAGTTTTGGACTTTGCTAGGCCTTCGTACAGTTATATGCCTTTTGACTATTTTCATGAAACAGCGATGTATTTAAAACTTTATATCTTGGAAAATATTTATCGTATCGAGTTCGGTCTTCGATTATTTTAATGTAGAAGGATTGTTCTTCTATAATGATTGTTTTGTTGTATGAAAAATTGATTTTTTAATACTGAAAATTGTAAACAAATTCTTTCGTCGCGATTATTTCCGTGTAGGCAAGTGATGTTCAAAATTTAAAAAAATATTCTCAAAAGAATTTGTTCACAATTTTTAGTATTGAAAAATCAATTTTTCATACAACAAAACAATCATTATAGAAGAACAATCCTTCTACATTAAAGTAATCGAAGAACGAACTCGATACGATAAATATTTTCCAAGATATAAATTTGTAAATACATCGTGGGTTTATGAAAATAATCACAAATAGTAAACATCAGCAGATTGTATTTTTTAAATAAATACGAGAACAGAAAAATGATGACTTAAATCCCCTCTAATTTCACGTGGACTCTATTTCACGGATACATATTGTCTTCTATATGTATACAGATATTATACCAGCAAATGGGATTTGTATAGAACGCGACGATATTTCAGGTAATTAACCACCCGGCCAGTTACACCTAATAAAAGATTTGATTCCGAGAATTGATCGCGACGGTCGGATGGTCCCGCAGGGGGGAAAGTTCCGCGAGAGTAGCGGTTTACTATGACATTGTTCTGCGTCACGACTGTCGCGAGGGGCTGAACGTTGCTTTGAAACGGTTGAAAAGTATGCATTGTATGACATGTTTTTTATATAAAAGGTGTATGGTTTGAAAGGATACATTATGTAGTGCATATCATTTTCTTGTAGATGGAGGTGTTTCGGATATTTTCAAGTCAATTTCATTATTTTAAAAGTGTTGAATTCTTAGTAAAAAAGGATTGACTTTTTTTAGCTTCAAATTGCAATGCAATGGATATGCATTTCTTATACTTACTTTACATTTTCAGCGACGGATATATATTTTTATCAACAAAAAAAGATAAGTTTCCAATAATATTTCCATTTTATCCTGTGCTAATGTATTTATTATTAGAATGATTTGTATGTGTTTATTTTTTTTCCGATATAAAACGACTGTACAGCATCGTATCTACATGGAGCAGATGCAACAGTTGTCAGAAGCGCAAATAATTTAATCTAATGGGACTTTGCTACGAATGTTTTTATATTTATGTACTGCAATAGTAACATCTAATTGTAAGAATAATTTGTGTACAAAAAATATGCATGTATATAATATTGAATTTAAATATTGAAGAGAAAAAAAGTTTATCTCCCTTTTTTTAAGTGCTTCGCAAATTAAAATTATAAATCAATTTGGGGGAGGGGCATTTTCCTGATAAAAAAAATATATCACTTGCTCGATTCTGACATAACCGGACTTCTGGCGACAAATTCTGTCGAGGCTATCTGAGCTCGGTTTCGGCGAAAGGTCTATACATATAGCTATATAAGTCTACGAAGCCCAGGCCCAGCAACGTTCGAAACTTTCACAGCCGAAACCAAGATTTTGTACGAGTAGCGCTTTCGGCTGTACCTTCCTCTCCCCGCATGCCAACATGCCATCAGCGATCGACCCTAGGACTATAAAATAAAGAGGGGACACGGAATGATTTCTGCGCACGCGTTCAGGTTTTTGGGAGTCATGTCGGTAACGTAGATTCTTACGGAACACACGACGGCCAGCTCACACGGGTAGAAGCAAAATATGCTTGTGTGGCAGAAACTGTGGAATAAAGTGGGGGACGCCGGGACGTCGTGGCGGTGGAACCAAATTTCACGATTCTGGCATCACTGCCCCCGACACTCGGCACGGCACACATCTTAGAATAGTTTGAGAATTGAACGCTGTCCATAAGCAGAGGACGCTACATGCAGTCTTCAAATTAGGTGTCGGTAATACATGTATACAGTAGACATTCGTTTCTCGCACTAGTCAGGGCTGTAGCGGGTCAGAATTCCAGGAACCGTGCAGGAAGCAGACGCCAGTTACCCGAGCGCTTTCCCCACCACTTGGCCATTCAGTCGTGCGACGCAGCTACTATATATAGGGTGGGCTGGATATGCGTACTTTACGGTTACATTAATTATCTCCGTTATTTTTAGAGATATCAGAAAAGTTTATTCACAGAAGTTGTTCAGTATGAAGAAGGCTATTACTAAGCAGTAACAAGTTTTTCGTAGGTGG